TGGAAAGCGCAACGTCTCCTCTTTCAGAAACTGTTGGAATTTTTCAGATTGCGCAAAAACATCATAGAGTTACGGAACCGCAAAGCTGGCTTGTAAAAATGTGTCTTCGGTGACCCATTTCGGCTGATAAGAGACATGGCTAAGGTAAATTGCTAAGATGTGATGAAATAATCTTTGCTGGTTTAAGAAAGCCAATAATTTCTCCACATGTCAGGTTTGTAAGTGTTTGCTAGTCATAGCAGCAGCATTTTGAATGAATTGCATCTTCCTTCCCTCCTCCTGTTTGGTCCTGACAGTTGAATTTTTACAGTATATTTTATTAATGGAGCCAGATTATCCTCTACTTATTGGTTTCACCTTAATCAAAGAGATTAAAATGTCATCTGCTCTTAACTAGAAAGAAGCCTCAAGAAATAGTATAGAGTTTGGACCACTAGCATTGGGACAACTCTACAAAGTATTCAATTAATTACCAGACATTCCCATTTATTTATCTTTTTCAGTGTATTATCCAGTACATTATGAGCCACTGTGTGAAACGCAGCGCTGACATGCATGAATATCTTCTTTACCTGTGTATGCCGGCATGGTTGCAGTTCACTGACGGCATGATGAGAGTCACATGGATGGAAAAGAGACGAAGAATTGCTAACGTGTAAAATCTCCATGTGTGACAAAAGCTTTTAGATTGTGCAGATGTGTCTGTGTGTGTCACCAGCTGAGTGACAGATCTTGTTGAGTGATGGAGAACAGCAGCAGTGCAGCTCACTGGGGTGTAACACACGCACACACACACACACACACACACACACACACACACACACCTCTGGATATAGACAGCTGTGTGCATTGGTAATGCCATTTCAGCTCACTTCTCTTCACTTCCATCTCCTGCTTTTGGTCAGCTGCCCGTTCTCGCCTCCTGTCATTTTTTCCTCCGCCATCTTTTCCAATCTTGGTCGCTATATTTACCGTCTGCCCCTCTACATTTATGCACTTTTATCTTCTGCTGATTGTGTTTACTCCTCACTCTTTCTTACCCACAGATTTTCCTCTCACAGAGAGGAGAAACAAGCTGCTCTTTCAATAGGAGGGAGAATATCAGCCAGGTGCTTCTAATCAATCTACTCGAATGCATTTGATTAACTAATCATTGTCACCGTGACCGCCTCTGTAAACCAGGAGCATTGATGTGTCTGCAAACACAATACTGAGGTAGAACGACATCAGCAATGGCCCTGGAGAAGCAACTGTGCCTGGCGATCAATATGGGAAGTGTTAAAAGCTTATTTCCAAACAATTTAAAGTTCATCATTCTGCATTAATGACAAGTGGGAAACGTTTAGGACAGCTGCCAATCCTCGAAGGAGTAAATGTCCCAGCAAATTCAGCTCAGTGTCAGACTCTGAGACACTGCAAATACCCCTGGGCTCAATTTCAGCCTCAGTTTATGACACGACAGTAAAAACATTTAAAGTGTTTGGCTTTGTTCTGAAGGAGCAGCAAAGTTTCATAATGCACAGAACCATGTTGCTAGAAAAACCAATGCAAAATTAATTATCTCATACCAATCGCTAAGCATGTGACCTTGTTTTCCGTTATCAGACGGACGATGAAATAATCTGTATGACATAATATTCTAGAGCACGTGTGTCAAATAGAAGGCCCGTGGGCCAAATCCGGCCTGCCGTAGCTTTTTATGTGGCCCTCTAGATTCCAGACTAAACATTAAATGTGCTTAAATAATTTTTTGTCAGTCACATCAATGCAGTTTTTATCTCTTTACTGCCAAATTACATCAATCAGTCCCTCCAGTTTCTTGAGAATTATTGTGGAAATTCACACAAAATCAATAAATCTGTGCACTTTTTTGTGCTAATAATATAATTAACATAATTATGACATAATAGGGAATTTATTGCAGATTTTTCTCAGCTGCCTCAACCTTAATTGCAACAGTGTCATTCTTATAGCATGTATGTAATTTGGTAGAGTAGCCTTTCACAAAGTTTTAAATGGTTATTTTTGTAGTTGTTTTGCTGTCATTTAACATTAATAATGAGAAGCCAATGTTACAAAAATAATCAAGGATATAAACTGAATCCAAAAAACCAATATCCACCTGGCAGATACCTCATCTGATGAACACAAAGGCAAGAAGTGATGCTTTTATGAAAAGGGCTAGATGAGATTTAAAAGAAGGTTGTGAATTTGGCATTTAGCTTTTGCATGCAAAATTTATCAGGTGAACAAAACTGGCTGACATCTCATCAGCAAAACGGCACAGAGAACAAGCTGGCAGAGGCTTGACATTAAGCTTTTATGAATTCTGCACAGCGAAGCAACAGGTTGAGTAAACTGAAGCTGGGAAAGAGAGAACACCTGAAATCCACTAAATCCATTATATTATGATAATCAATTTCCACAAATCTAGTTCTTACAATGTAGGAATTGTGTAATAAAGTGAACATTTACATTTGAGCTGTGAAAATGCAGAACTGCTGAAGACTTGACGCGATCTCTTCTTTTCTCTTTAAAGCTGCGCCATTATCTCTTGCTAGCAAATCCAACCATTTTCAGATTTAACGCTTTTTACTGTAAGCTAATAAAAACACGAGCTGCTCATTAAAACTTTATATTGGATGAAGGGGATCCTGCTGCCAAAAAAGTCCAAAAGAAAACGAAACAAGAATAAACGGCGCTGGAGCTCAGTCTGTAAAATTTGCGTTACTGTACCCTATGCTAATGCTAATGCTACAAAATATTAGCCATGTGTAGTAGCTAATGTTTCTCATTCAATTGTGGTGAAAAGGAAACATGAGGCAGATTCGGAAAGAAATCTAATATTTAAAGCTCTTGAAAATACGCAGATGCAGTCCAGAGAGGAAATGTATGGAGGACTGATCCTGCCAAAATCAACAATAAAAATATATCGAAATAAATGGTGTCATAAAGTGATTATTGTGGCAAATATCACATCTACAAAAGAAAAGGGAACTTTCCCAGTGTATTTAAAAATACAGAATGATATAAAGTAGTAATCATTTTCCGTTTTCCAACCATTTAACTTTCCATTTTATTTCCAATTTTATTTTTTTTTATTTTTCATATTCTGCACTCATTCAACAAATCTTTTGTTTTTCTAAAATCTATTTTTTAATCATTTACAAATGTTTGCGCTTCATTCCATCAATCTGCCAAAGGTAGGAAGTTATCATAAGTAAAAACTAATAAATGCTACGTCCTCTCTTAAATATTATAGACACCAGAAGGATGTTAGTTTTCCTCTGATTTTAAATATTGCCTTACATCTGTCAGCATCTTTTTTGAACAACAGTGGACGGTTTGAGCTTTTCATCAAAATGTCATTCAGGATTTTCTCTAATGAATTTTCGCCCTCTCATAGCGTCTGTGTAGGTTGTAGCACTGAAAGACAGCCTGATGTCAATTTATGTAAACTGTAAATTAAATTGACAGCCGTAAAGGAGTCTGGGTTTTTCTCTCCAGCCTGCAGTGTTACCAGATTTATTCAGCTTTTCTTACAGGATATTTCTGGATATAAATCCTATTCAGTTTATGCACAGTTCTCACGTTAGTCATTGGTCAAGGCTGAGGACTCACTTCCAGCAATCGCATATTTTACAATTCAAGAAAGACGGCTGAAGCTTTCCTATTCAATGAATAATTATACAAAGTAACCTTGAAACTTTTCAATCTACATGAACTTTAAATTAAAGTCTATTCTTACAAATCCTCTTCCTCAGCTGAAGCTCTTCCTCCTTTTCTTTCTGCAAATGTAACATTTTCTGCATTGCTTTATCTGTTTCTGTGCTGAACACAAATGACCTTCCTGCTGCAGTTTGTGCTGCTGTTGTTGAAGCTTTGCTGCAGCACCAACACACATCAACCCGCAGCCCCAGCATCCTTGATTAGGCATGGACACGGTAATTGTTTTCATTGCCTTGGATGGAAACGACATTGAAGCTAATGTGGTCCATTGATCTTTTTGTTCGGAGGGAAATTGGGTTTGTTACCAACGTTGTAGATCCCTCGTGGACCACGTGTTAACCCCTCTAAACTCTGCTGTTTCTCTCCATTCTTCACCGTCTTTTTCGTTTTTTGTTGTTCTAAGTTAACTCTCTTTTGCAGTTTGTCTTCCAGTTAGGCTCCCACTGGTGTTCAGTATGGTGTTTATTTTTATGTGAGGCATTTAAATATGAGATAAAAGTAACATTCAGTGTAAAGTGTGTAAAACAACTCTCGTTTTTGGTATTCAAAGCAGTTTTGATCACAAAACTGCTTGAAAACTGCAAACCCTTTGGAAACTTTATTTCCACAGGGTTTCTCCCAGTGTATCATAAGCCTGGCGGGCCACCAGGCCTTACTTATGCCCCCACCAGGCTTAGCATTGCTTATTTACTGAATTTTTTTTTTTAGTGTTGGCATTTTTAAGTCTTTGTAGTTGGTTTTCAGATATTAATCTTCCAATCTACCAATAAAACATAGTTATCAAGTGATATTTTCAAATTTCCTGTCAACATTAAATATTTTTTAGCTCAAAAACATGACTGGTCGCTGGATTGAATGACTGCCTTTGCAAACAACCACCAGGCTTAGCAGCACATGAAAAAATTTAAAATTAGGATCAGACCAATAAAAAAATTACTATTTTTAATAATGGAAATATGGAGTTAATGAAAAGTATGTTTAATACCTGCTTAAAAGTTTTTATTTTCAAAATATACTTTAATTCTTACAAACTAGACTCGTGAAGACGAATATTTTAATTTATTGAACATGAATACATTTTGTTTGCCATTGCTGTAAACGTATTTTTTGGGATAATCTGGTGGTGTATTTAAAATATAGTTAACTTGAAAGGTCACCATAGTGTGACATAAATATCATCAGGTTCCTAATATCATCCAATGAAAGTTTATTTGTGAAAATAAATGGTATTTATTTGTGTTTTTTGCTGATTTTTTTGTGTGTGTTTGCAGTCAGAGTGCAGATCCAGCCCCAAGAAAAGCACCGAACCGGCCGTGGATCTGTTGGGCCTCGGTAAGACGTAACATTTTACCTTTAAAGTAGAGACGAGCAGGATAAGATATATTTCCTTTTTTTAGATAACTGCATGGCACAGCTTTCCAATTCAAATTATTGATCCCAAAGGGAAATTTTATTCATAGCATCAATAGTATTTTCTTTAACATTAACTGAAATTTATAGTGATTATAAATCAAAATTCCTATCAAGACAAGACATTTTTCATAATAAATTGCAAACGAATCAATAAAAGCCCACCGGTTTTTTGTTTTTTTCTGTGCTACAATAACTTTTATGTAGATTTAAACCAGCTAAATAAGTGGTAAAATTAAATAAAGTTTTGAAACATTCCAGCAAAGTGATGAAACCTTTTAGTTGTTTATTTGAGGAGCTCTGTTAGCAAGTCAAAAGCTGCAGGATTGTTTTCAAGAAATGGAGCCAATTAAACCTTTTAGCTGTGAAACGGTTCATGGGAAGCAAAGACACAGAAGAGGATGACAAATAACCGAGTAAGGAACGATCAGGAGTGTTGTACTCCTGTCAGAACATTAATTGAGCAGCTCTCAGCCGCATCATGGAAAGCAAATAAACACTCTCCTGTTGCATCTTCAAACGGCTACAAGCCAACTTGACAAGCATTTCAGTGCATTTCCTGTGATCCCTGCACACCCAGGCGTGGCGTGATGTTGTTCACACACGGGTATTTTCACATATTGTACATAATTGGACCTCTCCTGATGGCGCAGGAAGACTGAAATTTGCTGATCCTCCTCCTCGCTGGTTGCAAATTATTTCCTTTTACATGAATTCCTGCAGAGCTCCGAGTCCAGATTTGTTAAATGTTTTAGTTTTCTGTATTTTGCACAGACCAAAACACATTTTGCATTCGTAAAATGGTTCTTTGAAAGAACGTTGTGGTCTGTTAATATGCAAAAAGATGTGGTTGACCAGGAGAAAATTTAAAGGGTTGCTGAAGCTCAAGAGAGAAGTGCCCTTAACATTCATCAGTGCCCTTGGTGAGGTTATATAAAGAACCTGAAAATGAACAAATCTAAGTATAATTTCACAGAAAAAAATAAATTCCAGTCCCTTTATTCGGTAGGGAAACAAATCCATACTGAGAAATATAACTATTTTTTATAAAATCACTAGTGCGACAGTAATGGACACTACTTTCATTTCCCATTAAATAAACATGACTGAAGCGCTACTTGAGTCATGCTGTATGTTTTTAACTTGATCAGAGCCTCTAGGTTGTAATTCAGATTCTCTTTCAAAAGACATTTCTGTCTGAACCCCTAAAAGATGAGCCACCTGTGAGTTTCCTCATAAATTCAGAGAGAACTCAATGAAAACAAGCTGGCAGTCCAGATAAAATCATAAGTCTTTCCTCTTCAGAACAAAAATAGCGGACGGACTTGGTGCAGTGGAAAGTGATCCTGTTGTCAAATTTAAATATTCTCTTATTCTTCTGATTAGACATGATTGCTGGGTTTTTATTTAGATTCAAATTCTGCAGCTTACCTTCAGTCTTCAGCACCAAGACACCCGATCCATGCTTGTGACTTCCGCCTTTGTCTTTAGGGTAACAGAGTCGGGTCGACTTCAACCCCTTCACCTTATCTTCATCTCATTTTCTCACTAGATGGAAAAAATCTACCTTAAAGCTGCAGTATTTTAACTTTTATTAAAAAAATTATGTTTTACATAATTTGTTTAAAGTGTCACTATATCATGACATTATAGTATGAGACAGATAGTCCCAGTGCTACCTAAAACAACCAATCAGATCCAGGAGGTGGGTCTTAGACTTGTCAATCACAGTATCATGTGGTGCCACTCATCACCTTCTCCCTACCACCTTTGCTCTCTGCTGCTTCCTGATAGCAGAGCTTGTTCTGAATGTTCAGGCTAGTTAGCATAGCTGCGAATAACAGCACTAAGCCCCGCCTCCAGGCCCTGATTGTTTTTTTTCCCGGGAGAGGTGCATTTCTTGAGATCGCTATGGACCCCTTGCATGTTATTGTATACACCCGGAAATTTCGCACATCTGCACTACAATGGAGGGCAAAAAGACGATTCTTTTACACGCCATCCACAGCCGCGCTGCTGCGGTGGAGCAACTCCGTTAGCTAAGTGAAACCTGGAGATGTAGGAATTATTAATTTAGTCTAATGCGCCACAGGAAAGGGAAATAACTCAGAAAAAATGTTAGAGTAACTCAAAACTACTCTTTTTCACTTTCTGTGTCAGCTACGCCACACGTAGACTCGTTTCCATAGCAACTGACAACGTCGCTAACATATCAGGATTCAACACCTAAAAACATTCAGTTTGTTACAGTTTTATGTTTTTAGTCTTGATGCTTATTTTTAGATTAGTAATATAAGTGATCACTAAGGTACATTAGCTACCACTGCACTATTAGCTAAACTAACACTGGAGGTTGATTAGCTACCATTGCTATTAGCTAAGCTAACACTGCAGTTTTTGATTAGCTAATTTAAACACCTGCTCTACTGATGATGTGTCAGAGTTGGTGTGTAGGTCACCTTTTTTGTTTTGTAACTGAACTGAAAGAATGATTTCCACAGCACATCTACATGTTGAGGTTATCAAAGTCAAGCTAGCATAACTGAACTCTCCCTCACTATTTTTGTTCTTAAAACGTTTTACTGACAATATCCATTTGTTGTTGTGTTGATGATTAGTAGTAGAGCATTGCTTTCCTTTTTCTTTTATACGTCAGGCGTATATTTAAGATTTAGCACATTACATTGACAGCTTAACAGCTAAAGCTAATGCTACTCATTGTTAGCCAGTAGCTTTTTGCTCTCCAGCAGAGAGATGGGGGTATGGTTTCTCCTCAGGGAGGAGGAGATCGATCTTTTCACAGATTATTTGTCTCATAGCAAACTGTCATGGCTATATTATTTTTAACAAGTATGAATCTCTTTTGTAGACTCAAACTATCTATAGATACAGAAATTACATTCTCAGAGATTTTCATTTTCAAAGTGTCAACATTTAATTACAACTATGCATTCAGATTTAGAATCACAAAATATATATTAATTGGATTCTTTTATACACACATTCTTATCTACATGTCAACCATTTTATTTTACAAGGCCACAAAACTCAATTCATGACTACTGTATCTGATTTACAAGGACAATATATATTTGACTTGCATTTGTGTCCAAAGAACGGTCAAAGATCCCTCTTTCTTTTTTCTCCAACCTTGTGAGATGCTCAAGGAGACGACTAAACATGAGTGCAAAGTATTAACAGTGGATGTGTAATAATTTTATCTGTTGACGTGAGAGTTCCTCCCCCCCACTGTATAAAGGCATTAGCGTGATTATGCTCCTGCAGTAAGAGATAAATTAATCTTATTGTCTGTTATGAAAATGATTTGTCCTCTAGGAGTTAATTAAAACACACTTCCTCATGGTGACGCACCAGCTGTTAGGGACTGTTTGACCATTTTCACTCGTCAGTTTGCAGTGTGAACAGAAGGTTTTCTATCACTTGCATGCTGGGATTTTAATGGTATTCAGGGTTTCCACCAGAAAACCTGTGAAGTCCAGTGGTAGGGCTGCCCACCATGTTTTCGTGTTAAATGTTAAAAGTAGGGCTGTAACAATTCCTTGAATGATTCAAGTACCTCGATTATTAAAATTCCTTGAAGAAAAATATATGCCTGGAAGTTTTTTTTTATATTTAGCGCACCGTGTTCTGGTCGGGTGATTATTTGCGTTGCACAACGCTCTCACTTCCGCCTATTAGTTGTTGACGAAAGCTAAGTGTTAGCAGGAAAACGTCCAATTTTCAAGTTCAGTCAATATGGGGATATTTCATGGAGTTATGATGGTGTCTGGGTTTTTATCGTTTTTTTGAGGGATCAGTAAGCGTGCTTAAATTAACCGGCGCAATGCCTGGCAAGCCTTTCTCCTGCTGGAGCTGCTGCCTGGTGGTTGGTTCAGAGCGAACTGTGGCACAGGCTGCTGTTCTATAGTTGATACTTAATGTAAGAGTAGCTTTACGGACGAACCAGAATAAATTTTCCAAGCCATTTTTCAACGCAACATATGTGTCAAGATGCTAGCGCCGGTGGGTTAGTGACAGACACCTTGTTGTGCAGAGCTACATGTCGGTGTTAGAATCATGGTACAAAACCAATGAAAGACAAAAATCTTTGTGCAGTTTTTTTCTAAACAAACCGAGTAAGTGGAGTAATGCTGTTGGATTCAGAAAATGTTAGCTAGCTAATAAGATAGTTTTGTTGTTATCTGTCTGCAGAGGTGAGTAGTAGTGGTTTTACTTTACTTCAGTAACTTTTTTGTGGGGGGAAAAGGTGTAGAAGTAGTTTTAATCCATTTTACTAATAGTAACAGTAATAGTATGAACTCTTGGTTTGGTTTTGCATTTAAAGAAATAAACTATAGAGATTTTAAACATTAGATCCTGAGATTTCTGCAACATATGAGCTAACATTTATAGATAATTACTCAGCATTTTCTACATGCAATTTCTACAGTGGTTCTGGGTATTTTATTTGAAAGTCATACGTATTTATATTAAATTAAATGCCCGCTGTGCCTACCCATCGTCTCTGTGGTATTTGAGTTTTTTTGATGAACATGACATCAGAATGGCTGTAGCGCAAAATTAAACAGATGTCGCGAACTAGATTCAAACCTGTGACATTTTGACGACCGAGTGTGGGTTCGCCGGTTAACCACTGTAGCATTGTTCTCTGCGCTTGTTGACCTAAATCTAAACGGCAGCGGCGCAGACATGACAGGCCGGGTGGCTTCAAGGTTTCTTCTTCATGAATTTCTAATATGCAGTTGTTCTCCTTTACGGAGCTGCACTGTGCCGGAGCGAGTTGAGCGGATGAGGTGCTGGCAGAGCAGCCAGAGCCCCATGGACACGGCATTGATCAAAAATTCCCAACCGCAGCATGTAGGAGAGAGATTGCTATAAATAACCAACACTACACCTCTTCC